GGTCGGACTGCACTAGGAAGAGGAGAGCTAGGAGATTATCATTTAGAGGAAACGCTCTTCGATGATTGTCAAGGCGTTCCTTGTTCCATGTTTCGAAGAAACGTGCGGCGTATGTGTCTCTCTCGGTTGCATCCTGTAGGCGCAAGAAGGTTTGATCTGCCTGCACAGCCTGCATGAAATCCGGATGGGCATCTTCCAGAGCTATCTCTGGTAAGAGATCCATCAATGAGTTTCTCACGCGCTGTAGCACGATCTCAAACTTAGCAATCCAAGTCACAAAGTCTTGGTTGCCCTTCCATGCCTTGAATAGGCCGAGGAAACGCCACAGGAAAACGTACTGTTCTCCTTTCACGAAAAATGGACGCATCTTCTTCTTGAAGTAATCTACTCAATCTGGGGCTGCAAGCCTTTCTCGGTTAAGTGATTCTTTTTGTACTGCGGCCAATCCGGAGAGCCTCGTCTTGAGAGACGGACCTCTTTTGGTGTCATCCAGCGTTGTTATGTCGCACCAGTCGTCAATCAACTGTTCATACTCAAACCACGAAGTGGTGCCATCATAGGCAGGCGCGATCTTAGGCGTTATGCCTAACGATGCAAGCATGCGGTCAGATGTTGCAAATGACTGTGCGACATAAGTGGCTGGACCTTGGGAGGTCTCTTCGTTCTCATATCCCCCGGAGGATTGGGAACTGCCGTCGCCTTCGCTATGCGAGCTCGACATTGTGCTGCCTCTTATCCGCTTGGTTAAGCGTTCGGCGAGGCCGACCGCTGTAGCGGACTTTGTGAGGCGGGCGGCCCTTTCCGGGCTCCGCTACCAGAAAACTGTGCCGATACACCCCCAAGGGATACTCCTTGTAAGGAGGTGTATGACCAGTTTATTCCCTAAGGATCAAAAGGGCAGCGCCCTGCACACGGACAGTAGTTGTTTTGTCTTGCTACGCAAGGAGAGCTTGTCTTGTCTCAATATGGTAAAACCACTGTGAGCCAATGGGCAGCGGAATGTATATGTATGAGCATGCAGCCATTGCTGTAGGTACCTGTTAGAGCTACCCCTTTAGAGGTTTATGGTTTCACCCCTCCCTCCCTCCCTCCCTGCCCCCCCTTTCCCAAGCAAAAGCTAAAAACAAAAAAAATTCCCCAAATAAAACAAAAAAAATTCCTCAAATAATTCCGGACCCTTTTTCTCAGGTCAACCCAAGGCCCCCGAGGCTTCTGTGTCTGTTGGTGATGTTGGGGAAGGGTCTGCTGCACCCACCCCGAAGCCCAAGCCGAAGCCCAAGCCTGTGACTCAACCTAAGCTCCGGCAGTTCTGGGCCCAAGGTGGGAAGTTTTAGGGAAGCCGTAGCCTTTTGTAGGCACTTTTCCTTTAGGGCCCTTTCCCCCTAGTCACCTGGGACGCAAACACCTACCTCAGACGCAGTTTTTCCCCAAGCCTCAAAAGCGCAGTAGCTGCAGCCATGGCCCACGAGCACCTCTCGCTTCCCCGGCCTTAGCCCTCTCACTTGTCGAGATGGGCTGGGAATGGGAAAGGAGGTGGTGCTACCACTCCTGGAGATGGGTCTGGCGAATGGTTTGGAACGGACCAGAACCGTTTGGGGCTGATTTCTGGGAGCCCCCAGCCGAGCCCCCAGCAGATCAGACCGCCGGTCACAGCTCCACCCCGGCGGGAGCTTGTGGTGATACCGGCGGCTCTGATGGTCCTACCACCGGGTGGCAGGACTGGCAAGGTTGGTGGGAAGAGTCGGACTGGACCGACCAGGCTGGCGACACCGGTGCCAGCGGGTCCAGGGACGCCCCACCCGCCTCCTCTGAAGGGCGTGGTCGCTCCACCCCTTCAAAAGGGCGAGGCAAACAGCCCTCCGTCCACAGGGAGGACAAGGCCCTCGTCCAGGCCTACCGGAAGCACGTGGACGAGCGAGCCAAGAAAAACCCCGATGCGAGGCGGGTTTCGGTTTCCAGCTTTGTGCGGAACCGGAAACGTCCCCCTCGCAGCCAGAGGGAGGCCCTAAAGGCCGAAAGGGATGGGTCCAACCCTCCCAAGGCCTCGCTGGACGGCAAGCCGCCCAGAGTCCGCACCCCTCCGCCTTCCAGGCGGACTGGCGGCAACAGCAAAGGGGCGGCAAAGGCTGTGAAAGCTTCAACAAGCTCCACGGAAAGCTCCGAGAGCAGCCCCCCGACGGCACCGACGGAGCCTCAGGAGCCAGAAGACCAGGAAGAGATGTTGCCCTGGTCCCGCCGCATCGTTCAGAAAACGACGGCGGTAAAGTCGTCGGCCAACGACCCACCCAGCAGCTCTGGAGAGGAGATGGAGCCTGACCCACCCTCTGCTGCGCCGGGTCCCAGTGCCGTGAAGGCACCCTCCGACCAGGAGGCCACCGAGGTGCCCACAGCCTCACCCATGGAGGAGGTGCCTGCCAAAGACGAGACCACCGCCAAGGATGACCCCGTATCCGGGGCTCCGGTCTCAACAGGCTCACGTCCTCCGCAGGACCCGCTACCACAGCCAACGAGCGGGATCCTGCTCCTCAGGAGGCGCCACCTCACTCCCCGGGGCGTGAAACCCCGCCCGCTGGCCCCCGGTCTCCTACGGCCCAGGGGAGGGGACTCAGAGGGAGCAGGGAGACCTCCCGAGGGAGGAGCAGCCCCTCGCAAGAGAAACAGGGCGATGTCCCAGGAGGGGCCCCGGCGGCGACTCAGTTCATGCGCCTCGACATAGAGTGTCGCCAACCGCCGGAGGCGCGATGGATCGCCCTGGCCGTGAAGCCCTCAGCTCTTGCCTCTGAGGTGCTCAGCCTGTGTCGCAACAGGCTCAAGCTGGGGGGCTTGGACTGCCTCCAGGTCTGGCCAGACCTTCGGTTGCCCATGGGCGACCAGCTCCGCGAGGGTGAAAGGACCCTCATGGCTACTGGGCCTTCGGCCCTGCAGCCAGAGGTCCCCGAGGCCAGCGAGCCCTCCCTCAGCGAGGCAGCGGGGTCTACAGGAGGGACGGGGTGCCCCCCCCCTCAAGAGCCTTCTTCGGATTCGGCTCTTGTAGAGGATGTGGAGGCACCACCCTCGTATGGGCCCCACCGTGCAGTCAACAGCCCGGATGGGCTTTTTTGTTACGCTTGTAGGGTCGGGTGCCCTACAATCGAACATATGCGAGGTTTTTGGCCTCCTAGCCTCCCCTCTCCTTTGCAGAGGCAGGAGGCTCTGCAGGGTGAAGGGTTCCTCCCCTCCGGGTGAGGCTCCCTCCCTGTAGGACTTTCGTCCTGTTTCACTGGGATGTGGCTCCCCACTCCCAGGAAGTGGCTACCCACTCCTGCCAGTAGCTCAGGTAGGTCAGGCAACCTGTAGCTCAGGGTAGGAGTAGCCACTGCCGCCACTTTGGCGATGCCCGCAAATGCGGATGACTCCAAAATACTTGGAGTTAATTTGTGCATGTCGGACAAGCCTACGGGCTGCTTCTGCGAAGCGTGTGCGAGAAAATCCCATTTGGCTCAAGTTTCGGCTCAGACGTTGCAGTGCCGTCGTGGCCAGCCTTGGGGCCTACTTTTCTAGAGGTTCCAAAGAGGTCGCAAACCCAACCACTACAGGTCGTAGGCCAGAAAGCTGGCAAGGGTTGGTGGGCGGCCCGGTAGGCTGTACTGCACGTGCTGTGCCAGGCGCTCCGCCTGAGCCCGGCAGACCTTTCCCTCGCTGCGCGCACTCCCTCGCCGTCTGGAGCTTGCACAGTTGCTTCCAGACTGGCTAGAGGCTTGTGCTTTTCGCGCAGCTGAAGGTTGCCTGGCTCCTCGCCCGAGGCTGAGGTTCCCTCACCTATGGGTCGAGGTATGTCGCAACGCGCCTACCATGTTTGCAAGCGCTGTCAGAAGGCGTGGGTTTGGGTCGACGAGCTGTGGAAGCACCCCACCTGCCCAGCCTGCCAGGCTCGGTTCCCTAAGGCTCCCAAGCCTGGTAGTGGTTCTTCCACACCGACCCAGTCCCCGACAAGGACCCCACGCAGGCGCCCTTCCCGACCCCGCAGACAGGTCACCTTTGACGATGCGGCTGAGGTTGGCGACTTCCTCTCTGACGACACGCCCACTCCTCGCCCAACGAAGGCCCAGGATGACCGTTCCAAGCGCAACACTCGCATCCTTAAGTCCCTTCGGAAGGTGTGGGCCGATCTCCCGGATGAGGCCAGGACCCAGCTCAGCGATGCCGGGTTTGAGGCCCCTCAGACCTCTGATGCTGATATGGAGCCCGACCTCCTGGCCTTACTCCAGGATAACGTGGAGCTGCTCCCGGAGTGCATCCGCCAGGCCTTGCCTCCACCCCCTCCCGAGCCAACCCCCGACCCTCTTAAGGAAGGTCGCGAGTCGGGTAATGCTCTCCGTCGTTCCATTTTGAAGCTCAAGCAGTTGGGACAGGAGAAGCTCAGGCTCCAGGAGGAGATCAACAAGACTAAGACCAAGCTCCACGACCTTCTCCGCGGCATGCAGGAACTCCAGGAGGCCATCTCTGAGGCAACCGATGTGGCCAGGAAGTGCTCTGACACTTATGAGCGCGGAGTCCTACTGCACGTCCCTAAGAGTGAGGTTGACTTAGTGCTCGAAGCTCTGCGCCTCTCTCCAGAGGCCCTCACGGAGGACCAAAAGGCCAACCTCAATGCCCTTCGAGCCTCGATCAAGCCCCCTCCGGACATGCAAGCTCCCCCTGGCCTCGGACCTACCCCCTTCAAGTTCGGCTCCCCTCCTCCTCCGGCAGGTGACGGGCAGGCCAACGGTGATCTTACTGACGACGCCAAGGACGGCTCTACCGAGAACCCTGGGGCTCGCCAGGTCGGTCTCACCACCCCGACCAAGACCCGGAGCCGCTCCCCTTCCCGCGTGCCCCCGGCCACCGACGCTGCCAAGGCGACTGGTTCGTAGGAGGATGGTAGGGGTTCGGGGGCGGATTCTTGGGGGCCTTCTGGTCCAGTTACGTTTCCCTTCGGCCCCAGCTTTCCCGTCTCTGACCCCGCACCTTCCGCCCTTCAGGTTCCCTCCCGCATACCTCCTCCCCTCGGCTTAGCTGTTTTGGAGCCTGAGGTTTCGGGCAGGGCCTTTTTCACTCCGCCGTCGGGCCAACTGCCCGTGGCCCAACTTCTTCCGAGTGAGGGGTACTGGCCCTCCTCTTTCTTTGAGGAGCCATCGGCCTCCTCCTCGGTTTTTAACTTCAATCTCGATGGCCAAGGTTCGGGAGTTTTCCTTCACCCTCAGGTGTTCGTTCCCCCCTCGGCCAGCCCTACCTCCTCCTCCCCTGAGTGGGTCGAGGTTCCACGTTCTTCTCGACGGCAGCCCCGGATTCTGTCTCTTGAGTCCTTGGTGGCGCCTCCCTCTCCTCTCACAGGGCCGGTTTACTTCCCACAGGCTTTCGCCTCGGCTTCCAGCCCTGCCTCGACCTGGGACCCTAATTTCGCCCAGCCCTCCAGCTCGCCGAGCCGTCGAGGTGCCAGGCGTGACCGACGGCCCAAGCACCGCCACCGCCGGCTTCACATGCCGGGCCTTTTCACCCAGCTCCAGGTCGAGATGTGCGACCAGGCCCTGAACCCTACCTCTTCGGTTGAGCGCTACCTTGTTGAGTTCGCTTCTAAGGTTGAGGATGCTATTTCGCCGGGTTCTTCCGAGGAGTGGTTTTTGGAACATGCCCTGGATGCCATCCATGATGACACACCTTCCCCCGCTAAGTGGCACCTCCTCAAGCAAATGGCTCAGGTCCTCTCGCTGCAGCATAATACTCCCCACAGCCCCGCTTCCCTTAGGCTCCTGTCTGCCAATGTTACTCACTGGAGGCCAGAGGTTCGGGACTGGGCCTTCTCTCTTGAAGGCCATGGGGTTCTGCTCCAGGAGCTTCATCTCACCTCTGAGGCTGCTCATGAGGCTGCGATTGCCGCCTCTAAAAGAGGGTTTCGCCTCTTTACCTCGCCTCCCTTCCTGAGTGATAAGAGGCGCCCCTTGGGAGGTTTTGGTGTCCTCATTCGCTCCTTCCTCAATCCCCGTCATGTCCTTACCCACACCGTGGAGGGTTGTGGTTTCCTGGCAGTTTCGCTTCGGTGTTCCGGTTTCGAACTGACCCTGGTTTCCATCTACCTCCAGTCCGGTACTGGCTTTAACTCCCCGGTCAACGCCGATGTCCTTGCTCGCCTCTTAGCCTTTCTTCCTTCCCTACGGGGTGTGTGGATCGTTGCTGGTGACTGGAACAACCCCATTCAAGATCTCCTCGCCACTAGGCTTGAGGAAGTTTCCCATGGGCGTTTCCTGGGTACCGGTTCACCCACCGCAGCAACCGACCGGGAACTCGACTACCTTCTGGTCTCGTCTCCGGCTGTCGCTTCCCTGCAAGTCGCTCAGGACTGGGTCGTTCCCTTCAAGCCTCACTGCGCTCTGCGGGCCACTCTTCAGCTCAGCTCTCTGCAGCTTCCTTACCCGCAACTCGCTACCTTTTGTGAGGTCTTTCCTGACCCCTTGCCCTTTCAACCCTCGGTCCCGAGCCCCTCGCCTATCGCTGAGGTTAATCTTCTTGGCCTCACATCCACCGACAAGCTCACTCTCGACTTCGCAGAGCTGAGCTCTTTCCTTGAGGTCTCTCACGGGTTCCCCGACCGAGGGCGTGGGGCTTTTGTCCCCTTTCTTCACAAGCCCCTTGTCCAGGGCCACTCTGTTACCTTTGCCTGGAAAGGCCAGCTTCCCTCCTTGGTGTCAGCCTTGCTTCACCTTCTTGACCGACCCGAAGCTGTGCAGTCCCTCTTGTGGTCCTCTTCGGACACTTCCCTCCCCTCCGAGGTCCGCGCCTTTTGTGACCGGGTGAGCGACGGCTCTGCTTCTTCCGCCACCCTCCGCGCCGAAGGCACTGCCCTCCTTGGTCAACCCCGGCGCGAGCAGACTGCCCAGCAAGCTGACCAGTACGGTGAGTGGCTGGAGGAAGCTTCGAGTTCGCACCTGGGGCCGCTCTTTCGAGCCATCAAGTCCCATGAGCAGGTGCTTGATCGGCCCTTTCAAGATTGCGATGGACTCCGCCGTGTCTTTGAAAGGCATGAGCATTGGGCCCGCGTCTGGCATGCTTCGGTTTTCCCCAGCACTTTGCTCACCCTCTCCTCGCGGAGCTCCGCTCGAGGGCCGTCTCCCATTCTGGCACCCTGGCTCCCTTGACTGTTCCCCACCTTCAGAAACTTCTCAAGAAAGCCGGGAAAAAGAAAGGGGGCCCGGACGGCTGGAGCTACCCAGCCCTTCGGGCACTGGACCCGGCGGCTCTTCAGCTCGTTGCCGACTTCCTCGCCCGTGCTGAGGCTGAGGTGCTTCTGCCTTTCCAGCTCACCTGCGTCCAGGTCGCTCTTCTCCCGAAGTCGGCCGACAAGGAACGCCCCATAAGTCTTCTACCGTGTCTTTGGAGATTGTGGGCACGGGCTAGGTGGCAGGACATCTCGGCTTGGACGTCAGCTTACGCCCCCGCCCACCCGTGGGACCGGGCGGTTCCAGGCCAGGCAAGCCTGGACACGGCACTGGCCCGCCTCGTCAGATCAGAGCATTCAAAGCTCGAGAAGACGCACATAGTGTCGCTCTTCCTCGATGTGCGAGGCTTCTTCGATTCTGTGAGCTATGAGCGCCTTCTCCTCCAAGGGCTCGCTCACAGTTTCCCTCCTCTTCACCTCTGGTTCGCCCTCCAGGTCTACCAGGGTCCTCGCTGCCTTGTGGCCGACTCGATCGCTGCCACGCCGCTCTTTCCTGGCCGAGGCGTGCCCCAGGGCTGCCCTCTCGCCCCCTCGCTTTCCAAACTCACCATGTCCGAGCCACTCCAGAAGGTTTCTTCCCTTCCCTTCGTCACCAACACAGACTTATGGTTGGACGACGTGAGTTTAGACGTGGTGGGTTCCGACCCTGTCGAGGTCGCTTCCTCTGCGCTTCAGGCCTACCGGGTTCTTCATAACTCCCTCGGCCTTGAGGGCCTAGAGGTTGAGACCACAAAGACCAAGTTCGTCGCCGGTACTGCCCGCGCTCGCGCCGCGCTTCAGCAGCTGCGGCGCCCGGGCGAACCCGACACCGCTGACCTTGTTAAGGACCTCGGTCTTGACTGCGCTGCTGGCCGACGGCGGCGCATCACCACCGCCCAAAAGCGCTTTCGCACCGGCATCGGCCGTGTCCGCCACATGCGCCGCCTCCGCATACGCCGCAGGTGGGTGCGCGGCCGGCTGCTCCAAGCCTCCGCCCTTAAGGCTGGCCTTTATGGCCACCAAGCCGTGGGGGTTGCCCCTAAGCGCCTTAAGGTCTTACGCTCGGCGGTTGCGCGCGAGGCTGGTCGTTTCGAGCACGGCTCCGCCGACGTCATCCTCGACCTCATGTCCCACAAGGCCGTTGACCCACACCAGCTTGTGGTTGTGGAACAGCTCCAGGCCCTTGGGCGCCTTGCCTCCAGCGCCTCCCCCGAAGGCGTGCGGTTACTCACCCGCACTTGGGCCTCCTCCTGGTCCAGACAGGCCTCTGCCACCCACGGGTGGAAAATTGTGAACGGTCCCGTTTCCGCGCTCATCCAGTTCTTACTGGACTTGCGGGTGTCTGCCCCTACCCCTGAGGTCTGGACACACCGCGACGCTACCTTTCACTTCCGCTTCCGCGATCCGGGAGCGGTTTTTGAGGCCTCTGCTTTCTTACGCCGGGTCATACAGCTCGAGCGCTGGTCCCGTATCGGCGCCGTCTCCACTGCCGCTGGTGCCGCCTTAGGCATCGATTGGACCGTGCCTCGTCGCCTCTTAGCCAGTCCTCGGACGAAGCCCTGGCGGCATGGCCTTAGGGCCGTCTTTCAAGGCGCCCTCCTCCATTCGGGCAACGGAGGGAAGGAACGGTGCAAGTTCTGTGGCGGCCCCAACACCCTGCACCACCTCCTTTACGAGTGCGAAAAAATCCCCGGCGCCCGCGGGGTGGCTGCTGTCCTACAAGCGGCGTCATCCTGCCGACTGCCTTTGGTTGCGCGGTATGCGCCCCCTTACCTCTCGCGAGCCCCTCGCCCGCGAGGCTGAGGTACGCCGTACAGGTCTCTTCCTCGAAGGCACCCCTGACCTAACCGGGCTCTGCGTTGCCACCGACGCTTCCGGAGGCCCTGCCTCCAAGGATAGCCGACTCCGCTCGGTCGGCTGGGCTGCGGTTGTTGCCAGCAGGAATGATGGCGACCTTGTTGTGCTGGGCACCCTGTCCGGGCTCTTGCCTGCCCCGGCCTCTGTGCCGGAGGGCGAAAGCGAGGCCATTGCTCAGGTCCTCCTCTCTTCCCGTGGCACTTTTGACCTCACTTGCGACTGCCAGCCCGCCCTGCGCAGCCTCCAGGGACCCTTCACGAAGCGCACCTCGCTTGTGTGGGCTAAGGCTTGGGAGCACAGGCACCGAGCCGAACCCCACTGGGTTCGCTCTCACCTTAGTCCCTCGGACTTTTGCTTTGAGTTTGGCGCTGAAGCCCTGTGGCGCCATGAGCTCAACTCTCTTGCGGACAAGCTCGCCAGGGACCGCGCGGAGGAGGTTCAGACCCCACACCGTCTGGCCGCCCAGAAGGAGGTAGACCGTGTCACCTCCCTTGTTTGTGAGTATCTCGGCCACCGCGCGGTCGCGATTTTGGCCAAGGCCGAAAAGGAGGATTTCGTGCCGCGGAGGAACCGCCTCCTCTCCGCTCTTGAGCCCTCCTCTTCCCCCTCGCCCAACAAGAGGCAGAGGTTGCAGGCCCTTCTCGACGAACCCCCTCTTCCGGGCGGGCACGTTTGGGCTCGCACCTCGAAGGAGAAGAGTTTCAACATGTGCGTTAAATGCTCCGAGTGCTCCCTCTGCATCTATCAGGTTGACACGCCGGAAACCTTCGAGCGTCTCATTTCATTCCCGTGCCGAACGGCTGCGGTTTCGTGCCCCTTTCCGGTCCACTCCTCGCACAGTCTTGTGCGTCAGGGGCCGTCTTGGAAGTGTGGCCAGTGCCATGGCCAAGTGACTCTTCGCATGGGCGCCGCGCCAAAAAAGCTCGTAGCGCCTTGTGCGCTTCCCTCCATTGCAGCAGCAAGTTGCTCCAGAATCTGGCACAAAAGCCATCGCATTTTTTCTTTCAATCGTATGTCTCTCAGAAACTGCAGAAGATCATGCTCTTTACTCAGGCGCAGTCCCTTGACGCTGATGTTTGACCTCTTGCATGCTTTTGCCAGCTCTTCGAAGTGAACTCGACCCTGGACTACGGTGACCTCCACAGGTTCGTGGTCGGAAGGAGGTTGCAAAGTCAGCCTCACTTCTGTTGCAACAGCGTTCATGACTTTGCTCAGCCAGTCACCGCAGGCCTTGCGCGTGGTCGCATCCTTGCCAGAAACCGCACCGGACAGAGTGACAAGGAGCACCAGAACTGTGCTTCCGCAGACTTCATGTGCTGCCATCTCTCCCGGCATGCCGTGGCGATCTTGCCGGGATCTGTCCGGCCACAGGAAATGCTTCTGGCTTCCCAGAATGGCAGAAGCCATCTCGGACCAACTCTTCTTGCGCGTCCCAAGGAAGTTGTGAGGATTCTTGCCTTTCTGGAAGTTCTGTAAACGCCACTGCTTCCCTGGCCACACGTGGGTCTTCCCCGCTCCCGGAACCAACCGGCCCTCCGATGAGCTTTCACCCCCGTAACCGTGGGCCTCCCGCACAGGTGGAGCACTCAGTCACTGCTGGAGCTGCCTCCTCAGCCCCGGCCGGCTCCCGGCCCCCTCCGGTGGCTGAGGCCTGTCACCCGACAGGTCCTAAGAGCCTTTCCTCGCCCTCGGCTGAGGTCGCTTCTCCTTCCCCGGCTCCTCCTCGGCAGCCGGATGTGGGTTCCGCCTCCTCGGCCCTAGCTCAGGCTCCGCGCCCAGGCCTTCCCCCACAGGGCACCCCTGCTCCTAAGGCCATTGGCCCTCTGGCAGCTGAGGTCAAGCCCTTGCCTCCGGCTGAGGTAGCAACCTCTGGTTCAGTGGGCCCTGAGCCCAAGGCTACCTGGCCTCCCCCAGGCCCTCCTGGTGCCTTGTCAAAGAAGGGTGACCCTGCCCCACCCACACCCAGTGGCCCGGGTAAAGGGGCCACAATCTCCACCGCTGCTTCGGCAGCTGCAACCCCAGGTCCACAGCTGGAAGTGGTCCCCTTGAGACCCTCGCCTCCTTGGCTGAGGTTTCGGGTCTCTCCACGGCCCCGCCGGACCCTGCAGAGCCAGCTCTCGCTGGCCTCGCAGCGGTTGCCGAGCAGAGAGAGGCCAGTCCTAGCTTCCCGAACCCTCGGGGGTCTCAGGTGACGAAGCTACGGACTCTCCAAGCTCGTCTCCTCGCCGGCCGGCTAGAGGTCCGGCTCCAGCTGAGGCTCGTCAAGAGCCGGCCCACGTGCAGGTCTTCAGCGAGAACTTCCTCCGCTGTTTTGCATGCGGCGTTACTACTTCCAATCAACAACTGATGGAAGCCCATGCAATGACCTCCAGGCACGTCCGCCTTACCACGGCCTATGTGGCCAAGCGAAGGCGCGAACTGGCAGCTGCCCAGGCTGCCCAGCCTTCCGTGCCGTAGGCCCCGAGCCTTGGCACTCTTCTCCCCAGGCACACCTCAGGCTCCTTCCTCGCCTTTGGCTGAGGTTCGACCCTCAGCGGTGCTTGGAGGACCCCGGGCACCCCTTGGTCCTTTCCTCGCCTGCTCGGCTGAGGTCTGCTTCTGAGGCAGCCTGCCCGGGCTCCGGTAGAACCCCGCCTGTACAGACTTTGGTAGGGCCTACCCCTCGTCTGAAAACGACTGAGGTTGGCGGGTGTAACTAGCCACCTGTAGTCCAGGACGTAGGGCCGCCCTTGCCCAAAGTGGCTGAGGTTTCTCACCAGAATGCATGCTGAATTCATTTTCGGACACGTCTACGACGGCTTGCAGCTCGGCGACGAAAATCCCATTTGTGGCTCAAGCTGTGGCGGTTCAAACTGGCGAGTGGACGCTTGTTGCCGACGTGGCACCCAGGTTTGAGTCCGTATCTAGACTGTGGGTCTCGACAGGTCTCAAACATCAACCACACGTTTGCTCGTAGGCTGCCTGTGCAGCACGGGACGCGTGGGGCGGGGTAGCGGCAGTTCCAGGTTTTACCTGAAGTGCGTAGCTGAGCCATTTGCACCGAACCACTGCTTGAAACAGCTTGTAAACTCTTCTTGCACCTTGTGAACCAATCCTTGTTTTCTTGTGCAGAATTTTCTTGGATTTTGGGCCTTGCAAAATTGCCCGTTTACTTGTTGCAAAAGTACAGTTGAGGAGTTTTTTCTTGCAAGCACCCAGAGCAATCATGGCAGGAGGCAAGACGCGTCGGTCTTACTCTGTCTGCTCATGCGGGGCATGGATCTGGACAGACAGAATAGGGGCCCAGCGTCCTTGCTGTCAGCAGTGTGGAAAGGCTTGGCCCAAGAGCCTCTGGACCAAGCCTGCCAGAGAGGCTCCGGAGGAGGATACAGAATTGCAGCGTACGTGGCGCCCTGGAGGGTTGGCAACGCGCCAGAAGCAGAAGGGCCAGAGGGGCATCAATCAGGACGGTACTGTGCACCGTGCACTGCAGTCATTGTGGGAGAAGCTTGCTCCCGATGTGCAGAAGGAACTGGCAAGCGCAGGGGTTAAACCCCCGGAACCTCCCAAAGAAGATGACCTGCTCGCCTTGCTGCGCTCTCACGAGGCTGCCCTCCCACAGGAGGTTAAGGACAAATTGCATGAAGCAGAGCCCAAGGAGACTCCCCAGGAGGCAGCTGTGTGTGCATCCAGGGAGTATAAGACGAGCACGCTGCGGTTGCGTGATCTGGGGCATAAGAAAGTTCAGCTTCAGTCTTGCATTGATGACACGAAGATGAAGCTACGCAAACAATTGGAATCCATGAAAGAGTTGCTTTCCCAGATTTCTGAAGCCCAGGCTGAAGTTGCCAAGGTCTCGGAACAGTTTAAGCAGGCTGTTTTGACGGATCCATCTGAGGAAGCATCCGCTGAGGATACCACGCTGTTGCAGCTGATTGCTGATGCTGGCATCACTTTAACCCAAGAGCAGATTGATAAGCTGAAGTCTGTGGAGGAAGGTCATGCCATCAAGAAGCGCAAGCACGATGCAAAGAGTCCTGAAGGGATCACGTCAGCTCCGCCCGGTTTGGGGCAGGTGGCTTCTCAGGTCCCAGCGGGAGGTCCGCAGCAGATGCAGGCGTAGGGTTTAGGGATTGGGGTTGGGGATCTGTCTTGTGATCTTGCAGTTTCGCAGACCTGCGGTCATAGCCGGTTGCATCTTGTCGGTGCCAGTCCTCTGCAAAGCTCTGATCAGTTGCGGTCCCCGGCCCTGCAATCCCATCTGGAGCCCTGTTTTGCGCTTGGTAGCACTGTTCGATCGGATAAGTCCGTTGTGCATTCACCCCAGTTTTGCAGTGAGTTTGTTTCAGGTTCGGCGGGGTTCTCTCCGCCCGAGCTTCCAGGACCAGCGCGCTTTGTTAGTGCAAGAGAATGGCTTCATCCACATGTTACGGCCACGGAGACCGACCAGGCGTCCCAAACTCAGCTTGGCAGTGCAAATGTGATTTCGGATGAGATCGTTGGCAGCTGCAATTTCACTCAAGAGGTCTGTTTGGTATGCAGTGCTCCCTTGAATGTCTCACGAACTGTGAGTTATCATGTTGGGTATGACAGCATTAAACTTTGCAACTTCTGCTTGCACGAGGCGTCGGCTAGAAGCTGTGCCACTGCTTCCCACGTCGCGAGCTCATCCCACGTTGAGCCCATGTCGGTGAAGGGATGGTTTGCTGGGCCTTTGGATAGGGTTTCGGACTTGGTAAGAGGGACAGCGCTGCCACCATGTCTGGAATTGTGTTGTGTGTGCTGCCGACCCCTTGCGTTGCCCTCCCTGTGCCTAAGCCCCTTGTTGCCAGCCCTTTGCCTGCACTGCATTCCGAATCAAGAGGTGCGAAGTGGCCTGCACAAACGCTATCAATTTGATGTACAACGGTCGGGGGATCTCCAGGCCTGTAGGCTTGAGGAGGGTCCAAGTATTTCCATCCCGGACCCGTGTGCTGGGACTTGCGCCAAGTCCTTGGGTGTCGAGGCCCCCCCTGTCCCCAATTTGCGTGCTTTTTCACAGCAGGGTCCACCAGCCACGACTTTTCCCGTGGAGGTGCGCCGGTACGGCTGCACTCCACTCATGCCTATGTCCACTGTTGCTGTTCGAGGCCGAGCTGGTGATCATGCAGTGTTGCATTCAACTTCCAGGCGAGGCTTTGTCCCCGTATTCCAGGAAGATTCGGCTATCGAAGCAGCCACCCCAGCAGATTTGCAGCGCATCCGACTGTGTGCGTGTTGCGGTGAGGAGCCAACTTTGAGTTCGCATTCGCAGGATTGTGTGCAGCAGTTTGTCAGTGCCTGCCGTAGTGTCTTGGCAACGCAGCCGTCGGCAACACTTCTTGAGGCCATCTGTGATGCAGAGCAGTTTTGCACAGCGTGCTTGATCAAGCGTGATAGGCTCCTTAAACATCATGCCGAACCGGTCGCACCACCTGTCTGTATCTCTGGACCAGCCTTTTTCTCGGCCGAGTCTTTTGGTGATTCCGCTTCTGATGTGCAAATCAACCTTGACAGTGTGAGTTTAGTTTCCGGGTTTTCGGGGGTTGAGGCCAGGGCTGCATCACATAATGATCGTTGCCATTTGCCGGCATCAGTCTCGAGGCGCACGAGGCGTCGTCATAATCGTTGGGCCCGACTTGCTGCACAAGCTGGGCTGCACTGTGTCGATCAAACATGCACAACTTCAGTGGCCACTTCAATAGAGCCCCTGCATTTTGAGCAGGGAGCCCCCAGGACCCAGGAGGTGGAGGTCATGACCCGGAGTAGGAGTGTTTTCCCGGAGGAGGTGGGCCGAAGGCCACAGGGTCCTGGGGGACCGGTTGGGAACACTGGCATTTCAGGCCAAATTTCCATGCCCGATGTGCGCCCTGCTGGCGGCACTCGGAAAAATAATGCCAATTTGCAGTCCCGCCGTCCAGATGCAAAACTGCTTGCTATGTGGCATTCATTACATCGGGCCTTGCAGCCTGTGACAGAGAAGGAGATTGTAAACCTTGTATCCCGGTTAGAAGAAGCTGGGTATCTTCGGGAGGGCAGTTTCCCGCATTTTGCAGCCGATCTCGCTCTGCAGGCATGCCACGGCGATGACCCGGCGCCGGCCATTTCAGCAACAGCAGATGTCATTGCCAATCTGGGCAAGCCCGATCGCGTCAGGAACCTCAATATCACTAGCGCCAACATCACGAAATGGCGCAAAGAAATTGCATACTGGATGTCTGAGCAGGCGTGTGATGCTTTTCTCCTCCAGGAAACCCATCTTCCTGAGGAGAAAGGGGAACAGCTGGCCAATGCTGTTGGTACCCGAGGTTTCCAGTCGTTCATCCTCCCAGCCGTGGCCACAGGTAACGGTGGTTTTTCAGGTGGGTTGGCGGTGTGTGTCAAGAAGCACCTTGATGTTCGGGAGGTTACACAATTTTCGCACAAAGGGGCGGGGTTCCTTTCGGTTGCCATGAGGGTCAAAGGGACCGACCTTTACTTGGTAAGCGTTTACTTAAAGTCAGGTGAAGGCTTCCAAAGCCCCACCAATGCTGCTGTCCTCAGCCGTCTCATTCCCTTCCTGGCATCAGTTCGTGGTTCCTTCCTTGCTGCCGGGGATTTTAATGATGATTTTGAGACACTTGCAACGACCAACATTGCAGCTGAATCCAAAGGTGCTTGGATCGCACCTGAGGGGCCCACTATTGCCAGTGGAGGCCGTCTTGATTTCGGTCTTGTGTCGAGGTCTCTGGCACACTTGGTTGGGGTTAAAACGCAGTGGCTTACGCCCTTCAAGCCTCACGCTGCATTGGAGTGGGAATGCCTGGTCTCGGATGTCATCCTTAACATCCCTCAACTGAAGCCCTTTAAGCCGCTTCCCGTCAATGAGCAGCCTTTTGAAATTCGGCCTGTCGATCAGCAGCTTCATGTACTCGGGCTGTCCCCACAAAATGCCACGCTGACCCAACAGTTTGGAGAGCTGTCTTCAGCCGTGGAGCGCTCGGTCTTTGGCCAGGTCCAGGGCAGAGGTGTGTGCATTCAGGTGATCAGGGCCCCTTTGCCGTTACAAGGTAGGCCTAAAGGCGGGTGGTGTGGCCACCAATGCGCCTTTTGGTCACGACTTGTGTCGTGGCTAGAAGTTTGTCAGAAAACGCCCCAGCCTTGCCCTATGGGTCAGCACGTTGCTGCTCAGATTGCAGAATTTTGGCATGGCACAGAGGACCAATCGCAACATTTCATCGACCTCATTGGCTCCGACACGACAGGGCCTTCCTTGGAAGTTGTTGCGACGCTTTTGCCACAGGCCAAAACGCAGTTGACCCAGATCACAAAGGAATGGATGCAGGATAAATCCAAATCCTATACAAAGTGGTTGGAGCAAGCAGCCACCGGAGGCTTGAGACCCCTTTTTCAGAGTGTCAAACAACATGAAAGCAAAACTTTAAGGCCCTTCCTTGCAGCCCCACTTCAGGAGCGCATTTATTTGAAGTGGCGTCAATGGCACGAAGTGTGGTGCAACCCTGATGCAGGTGAGGTTGACAGCAACTTGGCGGAAGAGGTTAGGAGGCGAGCCATCGCCCAGGCTCAAGCCTTACCTCCCATTTCAGTGCAGCGGGCCACCGCGTATTTTCGTAAAGCAGCCAAAAAGGCCCCAGGCATCGACGGGTGGTCGGCTGACATGCTTCGTAACATGTCGGCTGAGACCACACAAGCTGTGCTCAACTTCTTGCGTACTTGCGAGCTCCAGGCGGAATGGCCAGCCCAAATCGCAGTAGCTCTTATTTCCCTTCTTCCGAAGAGTGCTAAGAAGGAAAGGCCAATAGCCCTTCTTCACTTCCTGTACCGCTCTTATATCCGTTTACGGTGGAGCCTCATAGAGGAGTGGCAAGTCATGTACTCCAAAAAAGCAGTATGGGATAAAGCAATGCCAGGATCCCAAGTGCTTGACGTTGCTTTGGGACGTTTAATGAGGGGCGAGGCCTCCAGGCTCGCCAAGTCCCACATGGTGTCCATTTTTATGGACTTAGAAAATTTCTACGATCGATGCAGGTTCCAAGACATGCTCCAGGCAGGATTGGAACTCGACTATCCGCCATTACTTTTGCATCAGGCCTGGCTTGTGTACTCAGCTCCCAGATTCTTGCAGTCTGAAGGTGCTTTGGCACCACAGATCACACCTACTCAAGGTGTGCTGGCAGGTTGCCCAGCCGCGCCATCAATCGCGAAACTCATCATTCACCCGATCGCGGCTTCCATTTCTTCTAAGACAGGCACCACGAACTTGGATGTTTGGGTGGATGATCTTAGTTTAGATACGGTTGATTTTTCAGCGGACACTGCGGCGCGCACCAGCATCAAACTCTTCAGATCCTTGCGGTCGTCTTTGCATGCAAGAGGTGCCAGCATTTCCTTGGACAAAACTTGCTTTGTGGCTACCTCCTCACAGACAGTCGCGGCACTGAAGAAACATCGCTGCCCAACAGATCCGGAGATCAAGCCCTTTGCCAGGGATTTAGGCATTACCTCGGGAGGTGTTAGGAGGCGGTTGTTAGGTTTAGCAGAGCAGCGACGCCAGCGTGCCACAGTCCGCAACACTCAGCTTAGTAGGCTGCGCATCCCAGGCCAACGTCATCGACTAAGGATAGTTAGAGCATCGATCTCCATGACAGGTTTGTTTGGCCATCAGGCGATTGGAGTTTCGCCGAAGCGCCGCAGATGGTATCGCACCATCACCGCCAAACACCTTGGACGTCAAAAATTGGGTTCCTTAGACTTAACCTTCAAAGTCATGGGGCACATTTGTGAAGATCCTTTTACTACGATCCTTACGCAGCATGTCAAAGCTGTGGTTAGGGTTTTTCACAAATGGGTGGTCCATGATGTTGAGAAATTTCATAGTGCTTGGCGCTCCCAATGGCATAGGATCCACCAAACCAAAGACCCGTGGCGTCGGGTAGCTGGACCCCTTGCTGCCACACAAGCCTATCTTAGTGAGTTGAATGTGGATGCCTCTGATCCCTGTAGGTGGGTGCATGGAGCCACAGCGCTGCAACTGCAATGGACTTCGCGTGATACATGCAGGCTCATCCTGCAATGGCTGGGTAGGCTCCACACGACCCAGGTCAATGAGCGCATCTCTTGTTTGGAAGGCTGTCAACTTCTTGTCCAAGGGGTAGACCTAACTGTCCCCAAAAAAGTTATGAAGAAAAAGTTTTTCAACCAGAGTACCCTTGTAAGCCTTAAGGCGCTCTGGCAGGGTGCACTTATCAGCGAGGCCAAGCCTGGTTACTGCAGCAGATGCCAGTGCAAGCTGAGTTTACAGCATGTTTTGTGGGAGTGTCCAGCTGTACTTGCCAAATGTCCCACGCCTGACCATTTTGCCCAATACCGTCTAACATTTCCTTGGGAAAGTCTCTGGCTTCGGGGCCTTCCACCTTGGTCTCGGACTGTTTTGCCCGATCCGTCAGCTCATGTGAGTGAGCTCCGCATGGAAGGTTTGTGGCAGGAAGGGGGCGTTCTAGAAGGCGAGAAATTTGTTTTCGCAACCGATGCCTCAGGGGGTCCAGGTAGTACTGATGATCGTTTGCGTTGCGTTTCTTGGGCCATTGCTGCGTATACCTTGTTGCCAGAGGGACCAAAGCGAGTAGCAAGCATTTCATGCCTTGATAAACATCTCACTGTGCCTATTGCCGAGCAACGTGCACTCTTTGAACTTTACAGCAGAGTTTCGGGCAACTTCGACGTTACCGTCGATTGTCTAAGTGCGACTCAGCTGCTGCAAAAGCATGCCCCGCCTCAGACAGGTCCCATCCCGTGGAATGATGTTTGGGCCCAAAGGCATCGATCACATGCGGTGTGGGTGCCTTCGCACAAAGACCAATCGCATTTCCAACAGCAAGGCCTACCTGAATGGAGAAGGCTTATTAATAATGATGTCGATTCTATATGCCGAGGCAGATCGGCTGAAGCCTTTTCGTGTGATCATGCATCATGGCTTAAGCAAGCGGATGCTGTGTGCCGTGAAGTGTCCATGCATTTGGCTAAGACCGTCACTTTCATCCTTAAAAATCAGAAGTCGGGGTTGCTACCTTGGATCCTCAAGAGGCCTTCTTTGGAAAGGGAGCCCCCCAAACCCACTGCAGTCATTCCTAGTCCCGTCTTCCAAAAGCCTAAAGTTGATAAGCCTAATAAGCGGCAGCGAATGAAGGCATGCATCGAGGGCTTAGGTGACATGCTAGGTCATAAATGGGTCCTGGGGTCTGAGGGTTCTACCAACCTCACCATGCGATGTGAGCATTGTGGTCCGTATGTCCAACAGACTCTGTCACAGAACCGATTCGATAGATTGATGAGCCATCCTTGTAAGGACCACCCTGGAGCGATGCCGACCGAGTGGCGCATCCATTCCAGTCATACTATGACTAATTTAGGGGTTTACTGGATGTGCACTAAGTGTGAAAAACTTCAGAGGCCGGTTTCGGAGGATGCTGTCAAAGCCTTAGTTGAACCGTGTAAAGGTACCACTAAAAAGTCTGGACACCATGCAAAGCAAGCACATGTCCAGCAGCGAACTCTCACTTCAGGTCCAGTGGTTGGCCTTGACAAAACCAAAGCACGCGTTCCCTTTGGCACCAAAATCCGTGAGGCACCTGACGCTGTTGCTCCACATCAGCCGGAACCAGGTGGCCAATCACATCAGACCGAGGTTCCGGCCCCGCCGAAGCTGAAGCAATCGATGTTGATGTTTAAAAAGAAATGATAATACATGTTCAGCCGATGCCGGTGTGCGCTAGTTGCTGCACCCGAAAACTTTCTAACTCCTTTATGATGGGTGGTTTTGGGTTTTGTCTGGGTTAGTGTTGGGGTTGTGACCTGTCGGCGTCTCCTCTTTCTTGCCTGCTGTTGTGTGCAACAGAACTAGGCGACCAAGTTGATGCCATAAGTAGTGCCCTAACCCTACCCTTGCTGGTGTGCGCTTGAATGCTGCACCCAAAAAATTGCATATCCAGTCATGCGTATACCACCCGACTTCGGGCCTTCAGGGAGTGAAGCCGTTGGTCCTTGTGGGCCCGGGTTGGCTTCCCGGATTTTTCTAGGCTAAGCTGTCAGTCTGGCCTGTGTGCGTTTGGCTGCTGCCACCACACGGTGTGAACAGTCCCAACTTGCATGTTGTCGCAAATGCTACAGCTTTTGTTGCCTTGATGTGCTGACTCCAGGGGGTCATTCCTATGAGGTCCTGCAACCTTTCTTGCTTATAATGCTCATGATCCCTCCGTGGTGTGGACACTTCGCATGTTCATACCACTGGGGGTTGTACAGTTTGTACAGGCTGCTGGTAGTTACCGGTGTGTATAGGCGCTTGCTGCTGCCGCGGTTCTTGGAAGGACTGAAGTCTCAGCTGCGAAGCCCTCCCTTGTCAGCTTGGGCTTCCAGTCTGAAATTTGCTGTGCCAGGTGCGACTTCGATGTGCCTGCATGCCCGTTGATATTCGTGGCATGTCGAACCGCTTACCTGCCTTGACTACGCTTGGTCCAGAGTTCACCGTCCGTGCAACAGCTTTGCCCCGCTACTTTCGAGTGCCGGGGCGAGGCTTCCGTAGACAGGTAGTCTCTGTAGATCAGTGTAGTTGTAGTTTGTTTTTGGCCTAGGAGCTGCGACTTTTCTGCTCGCTCGGAAAGAAAATCCCATTTGACCTTGGATGTCCTGATGTTTTCGGCATGCCTGAAGCTGTGAGGAGTGCTTTTGAGTTAGGAAGTGAATGCACGTTCGTTTCGTCTCGTTTCGTTAGTGCTTGAAGTGTTTTGCTTGGAGACAGACAGCTGCAAGGTGTTTCACTGTCAGTCAGAGCCCGACGCGACTCCGCTTTGGCTCAAGAAAAAGACCGAGTGCTGCGCGCTCTGTTTTTCACAGACAGGGAAGCAATGTAAGTGATAACAGACAAGCCGCAAAAAAAGGTTCTCGATCTCACGCATCTTCTCACCACAGACATCGATGAAGGATAACCTCTGTAGAGAGCTGCACCTTGGAAACTGCGAAATGATCTGAGACGTCGCAACGTAAGCGGGCGCACCAAATGATGTCGCAAAGGCTTGAAAGAGACTACGAAGTCGAGTCTCAAATGCAGGGAGTTGTGCAAGTAACTTGGCGTGGCCTCAGGAGGTTCAAAAATGAAGTCTGATCTACAGCCTCCCAAACAAAAGTTGGACAGAGGTACCCAACCTACGCTAGCAACAGGCTTTTGGGCAACACGGCGATCAAACCTGCGGTTTTCAACTCCATGCCAGAAGACTGGGGAAGGCAGCTCAAGCGGCCGAGCCAAACCACGTGAACGGCTCCGGCTGCCTCTTCCGTGAAGCTGGACTTTAAAGGCAAGCTCCAACCTTGAGAGCTTGGACTTGCCAAAGGTGTCGCCCTCGAAGAAATTTATGCCAGCCGCTCCGACTCGCGCTGAGGCACTGAACTCGAAGGACCTTCGAGCGACTCCGAAGTTCATCTGCACTTTCTGAGTGTGGCCGATCAGGACTTCCTTCTGTAAACTTCGACACGTCCACGACCCATCCCAACATGTAGAATATTGGAGCAGGCGATCATGAGGTGTCGAAGAAGAACTGCAGCTCAGACGTCGGTGCTCGCGCGTCCTGGCGGCTGTCTTTTGAGCGTTTTCCTCCTGCAATAAATCCTTGACTCGGAAATGCTCCCATGAGATTTTCTCCACTTTGGAGTAAAACAGTTCGAGTGTTTGCGTGAGCTTCTTTATACATATTCTGAGCTTCATATTTGCTGCTCACTCATAAACTCATAAATGTTGGATTGTTTTTTATGCTATGATAGAATGCAAGCGATTTATTGGATAGAATAAGTGCCCACTCCCCGTTACGACGACAAGGGATGGTACTTTATTCTTTCCTTTTGAAAAATTTTTCTTGTGAGAAAAATTAGCTTGCAAGTTTCTTCCAACAGATCAGTTGTGTGGTAATTGAATTTCTCCTGCAGCCTTTTTCTCTCTTGAGGTGATAGGCGAGAAATTCTTTTTCCTACCCAGCCCACCCTTTTAAGCGGGGCAAGGCCCCGTTCTTCTTCTTGAAGATGTGGTGTGCCTAACCCTGCCGTTTGCCGAGCAGCACACTGGACCTTTCCCACTTTGGAGTAAAACAGTTCGAGTGATTGCGTGAGCTTCTTTTATACATATTCTGAGCTTTATATTTGCTGCTCACTCATATATGTTGGATTGTTTTATATGCTATGATTGAATGCAAGCGATTTCTTGGATAGAATAAGAAATAATATTGCCAGCAACCTTTTTGGCGGTTTGCATTTTTCAGTCTACAGTATGTAGGCTTCTTTCCACTTTGATTTTGATGTAAGTTTTTTGACGTTCACAAGCTTTATTTACGACAGCCAGCTCACAACTACTCTAAGCTGAAAGCGGGACGATCTTTTGACTGGTGGTGCAACGGTTGCAGCAGTGCAAGCTATGCCAAAGCAAAGCAAGCAATGTGAAGCTGTTGACGAAACGCCCTGTTATGCCAACCTGCAATGCAGTAAGGAGGAAAAGCATGTATAAGGAAGCTAAAGAAGCAACAACAGGGTATCTGTAAAGTATCAATGATCATCACGCAGGAATGGCAAGGATCGACCTTGCAACCCAAATAGGGAGCGGAGGGTGGGTGAAAAAAGTAGCAAGCATGCTAAGCAAAGCTTTGTTGAGCTGGCCGTCAAGCTTGATTCCGAAAGCAGCGCGGGATCACAAGCTGCGAAATAAAGCTGGAAACAAAACTGAGCAAACACAGGTATCGTTCACAAGCTTTATTTACGACAGCCAGCTCACAACTACTCTAAGCTGAAAGCGGGACGATCTGTCGACTGGTGGTGCAACGGCTGTAGCAGTGCAAGCTATGCCAAAGCAAAGCAAGCAATGTGAAGCTGTTGACGAAAAGCCCATAAAAGCTACCAGGAGAAAGGAGTCTCGCGCTGCACCACCACCAATTGAAACGGTGAGACGACTGCGGAAAGGCTCACGCTGCATGACATGTCCCAAAATGGGAGGTCGTAAAGCAGCTCATCGGAATGGCGTGTCCCCACGAAAGGAGGAGGCCGTAACATTTGGCATGTCCCCACGAAAGGAGGAGGCCGTAACATTTGGCACGTCCCCACGAAAGGAGGAGGCCGTAAGCTTATGCACGACTCCCACATAGGAAGCCGTTGCAGCATCAACAATTATCAGCATCGTGAAAAAGCTGCAATGTAGGTGCTTCCCATTGAGGACGAAAGCCATCGGGATAAAAAGAAACACACCGCTCGCGGAACCAGAGTTGATGTAGATCAGTCGGATACGAAAATCCGAAAGGATGCCAGCAGGCAAAGCATCTTGTCCGTTCCAACGGGACAACCAGTCCGCCAGCTCGTTCCGTGGACCCGAAATGTGGGTCGCGTCAAGTTCTATGCCCGAAAAGCAACTAAAAAGGGCAAGTCGCTGGGCAAATATGCTCAACGGATACGATGACGTGAAAAGCTTGTTGCTCACCGACTCAGCGCCAGTGTTGTCCGACCAGCTTGGTATTCTGACATGCATACGGCCGCCTGGTGTAGCCGCAGATAGGCAATGGAGCAAAGCAATTTGAGCCAGGCATTCGTAGCAAGAAATGTTATCGGAGGCACGAGAGCTGAGTTCGATGCCGGCAAAAGCAAAGTCCGAGACTGCGTAACTCTCACTGAACCAAATTGTAGTTGATGAAAGTTTGACAAAACCTCCAATAGCAAACTTGGTGCCAGACCCCATCGCGTCAGCAGCTGCAACCAAAGTTACCCGAGGAGTGAACTGTAACGGGCGTAGTGTTCGTTTGTAACCTAGTGCACGTAGTCCCAAGTAGAGATCGCAAGAACACATGAAACATGTGTGCGAACCGTGACACGGAGGCTTAAGCAAGTCAGCCCGCGAAGTGAGAAAAGTGTGTTTGTGAGTAGAGTGGGAAGAAAGGCTTTAGAAGCCTTTAGTTTCAACGTGGTAGCGGAGCTCGCTGATTCAGACCTCTTGGGAGCGATGAAGCTATCAACGGAACAACAGGTAGCTGTCGCCATGGTTTCCTTGGCTTTGGCCTTTTCGCTGATGTGTCTGGCGAGAAGCTTTGTGAAAGAACTTGCGAGAAAGGAGACAGTGGAGCGCGTGGCTCCCGCTGAGGAAGAGCTACCGGAACTCTGGTACTCACCTTACGGAGAGAAGACCCACGTTTCAGGAAGATGTCATGGCCTCAGGAACGCAACCAGTGTACACCGAGTACTACCATGCAAGTACTGCTGCGCCAACGGACTATGACTACGATCCCGAGAACAATGCACCTTCGAGTACAAGAGAACCTTTTGGGAAGCAGCAGGAAAGTACCTTTGGCTAAAAGTCTTCATGGTTGTGGTTCTCATGAGCATGTCGTGGTTCATGGTTTTTGAAGTGAACGAGACCTACGGCTACCCGCTGACCGCGAGCCGCATGCTGAACTACAAGAACAAGGTCCTCAGCCTCGACAACAAGAACCCCGAGAAGAAGCATGTGATAAAGGAGATTACCCCAGCAGAAGTTGTGCCTGCCGGGAAGAGCCAAGAAGGTGATCACACAGAACTTTTCACGTTGTGGTCGCATTTACATGAGCCCAATACCGAACCGAGAACGAGAACGAGATCTACGTCACGAGCTACCTCAAGAAGACGAACGCGTACTCCGAGTTTTACAAGAACAAAAGAAGAAGAAAGTTGCAACTACAGTTTTCATGATGGTGATGTCACGGAGTATAACGAGAATTTAAAGAACAACGAAGTGCCCCACTTGAACTACTACAAGAACCTTGCGTTTGAGTTGGTTTTGGAGTTTCAAGAGTACCTTGCGAAAGCAGGAAGAAGCCTTGAGCCCGTCGTGAGCTACGTCGTGCGCACGTGTCACCCAGTTCTACTTCTACTTGGGACCCCGCTTGGTATGGTCACTTGGATCTACCTCTATTTTTGGGTCAGAGTTAAGCAAACAAAAAGAGAACAGTTGAAGAAGAAAGTTTCGAGAAGGAAGTTGCACAGGTCAGTTTGCAGCGTTCTTTTCAGGAAGCGAGTTTGGTTGCATGCTGTGTTGCTTTACAGTCACATGGGGAGTGCAGTTGCGATGGAGGAAGCCTTGCAAAGGCTTACGGACCTCACTGCCCAAAACACACAACAGATACAAGCACTTGCCCAAGCAATGAACAGTCAGCAAACACAGGCAGGTACCGCTTCACAGCAGTTACAAGAACTCGCGCAGTCAGTTTCACTACAGCAGAGAGCAATCACTGAAGCAACCCAAGCAACGAACACAGCACTGTCACAGCAAGCAGAGCTTACAGCCAACGCGGTTGCAGCAACAGGAAAGCTTACAGCAGACGCAGTCACAGCACTGTCGCAACACGCAGAGTCGAGAAGGCCAGGAGAGGTCGATCTCCACAAGATGATCAAATCACCAGAAGTCTTTGGCCCCACGACGTACAAAGAAGAACGTGATGGTTTTCTAGAGTTTCGCCTGAAGATGAGAAGCTGGATAGGTGCCCTCAACAACGACATCCTCGAGAAGATTAACGCAGTCGAGATGGATAGGAGAGAAGCATCATGGGAATGGACGAAACTCTCAACCAGTGAGCAAGCACTATCAAGAAAGCTACATTCCATTCTCACCAGCTACACGCGTGGTCGTCCTCTACGAACTCTAAAGCAAGTACCCAACGAGAACGGCTTCGAAGCATGGAGGTTATTGGTTGAAGAGCATCAGCCACACAATCGCGCACGTTCTCTACAACTACTCAACGGAGTTCTGCACTACAGGTTCGACAAGCAAAGGTCAACACAAGAAAATATTCTAAAGTTCGAAGAGTTGATTGAAGAGTACGAGAGAGCGAGTGGAGACCTTGTTGCCGACGACATGAAGATTTCCATCATTCTTGGAGGAACCGAAGGTAACATGAGACAGCATCTTTTACTCAACCAGAAGGAGACCACAAAGTATGGAACACTACGTCAGTACCTCCTCTCCTACGAGCAAGCAGCAAGGTGGACCACCACAGACCTCATCAACTCAGGAAAGGATCACCAAGGACAAGCCGACATGGATGTGTCAAGAGTTGAATGGTGGAACAAAGGCAAAGGAAAGGACAAAGGAAAAGGAAAGAAAGGAAAAGGATTTGGAAAGTACAAAGGCAAAGGCTTTGGCAAAGCAAAAGGAAAAGGAGGAAGCCAGTACTACTACAAAGGCCGAGGAAAAGGAAAAGGTAGAGGAAAAGGAAAAGGAAAAGGCAGAGGCCGAGGATATGGCAAAGGCGGGGGAAAAGGATACTACAACAGCAAAGGAAAAGGCAAAGGATACAACAACCCAGGAGTCCCCGTTTGCCACTACTGCCAAAAGCCTGGACACTACGAAGCCAATTGCAGACTCAAGCAAAGAGACATGCAACAGAATGTCAGGAGCGCACAGGAGGAAGATGAGCAAAGCATCAAGACACAGCCTACTACAGTTCCAAGCAGCAGCGCCTCAACAGCAACAACAAGAACTACGAGCGCGAAGTCTACAGCCAAGCCAACAGTTCGACAGATCGCGATGTACCACATGGACAACAACCCTGTCACGTACCCTGAAGTTTTCGAGCTTGATGAAGATGAAGAAGAACTCGAGATCGAGTACTTTGGAAGAGTCTTGAGAGTAACGTCAGAAGGAGAAGAGAGTGAAGAAGAACAAGAAGATCCTCTACTCGACTGGTATCTTGGACGTGATTCACTACCAGCGCAAGAAGTTCTCTCAGTTCGTGTTGTCGAGGAAGAGTTGTTCCAGGAAAGTGATCTTCACCAAAGAATTGAAGTTATCCTGGACTCTGGCGCAGACGTTTCTCTTGTGCCCTCGTGGCTAGGAAGAGAAGGAACCCCTTTGAAGGTTCGCCCTGCGTCTATTCAAGATGCACAAGGAAAGGCAATAAAGACAGAAGGAAGAAGGATGCTGAACTTAACGTTCTTTGACGATGATGGAAGCTTTTGTCGCATCCAGGAAGCCTTCACCGTTGCCTCGGTGATCAACCCACTGATGGCCATAGGCAAGCTGTTTCGAGAAGGTTGGGAGTTGCGAGTCAACGAAGTAGAAGGTATGTGCCTTACAGATGGAAGTTCAAGAATACCAGTGCATCTCCACAAGAACAGCTTAGCAGCCTACGCCTACGTACAAACTCCTTCAAGAAGCAAAAGCTACACCAGCAGCAACTACAAAATGGTTCGTACAGTTGTGCAGCTCAACAAGCACATTCAAGCAGTGAACAGAGAAGAACCTGGTTGGCACAATACCGACAGCATGGTCATTGTCAAGCGTGCCACTCAAAGCAGCTACGAGAACCCATCTCTCATGTACAGCCCTACGCACTTTCCGTACAGAAGCACTTTGGTGAAAGAAGAGAGAGGATGGAGAGCAGTTGAAGTTTCAAGAAAGTACTCCGAGAAGGCAGACCCTTTTGAAGAGTTTGGTGAGGGAGAGAAGGAAGTGGTTACAGCCATTTCAGCAAAGCCAATTCCACTTTGGATTCTTGGCACTCCGTATGCAGCTGGAGACCGAGCAGACCAAGAAAGCCATGGTCGTGACTACTGAAAGATGGATCTTGAGAAAGGAGAAGTTGTTCGTCACCACGTAGTACCAAGAACTGTTTTGTTTGACCCGACAGGTGTTTCCAACTGTCCTGTTCTCCTTGGAGACCTCGAGAACACCAGATATACCCAAGGAGACTGTATCTACAGTACGGAGATCTACGAACACAGCGACGACTGGAGAGCAGACCGCCTACCTCTACGTGAACACTTTCGTTTGCCGTGGTTTGGTCAAACAAGGTTTCGTGTGAAGCCAGAAGTTGTTGAAGACCTGAAGGCAGAAGCAGCAGCAGAGGAGTTAAAGAAGAAGAAAGAAGAACACTACAAAGAGAAGGAAGACTCAGCAGCACCAGCAGCAGAAGAAGAGAACAAAGATGAAGAGATGAGAGAAGCACAAGCAGACCAAGAAGCACCACAAGAAGTTGTTGAAGTTTTGGAGGAAAGCTTCTACCACGAAGGTGTTGAGTACACAGCTGAGAAAAGCAGTCTTAAAGAACTACAAGCACTTTGCAGAGAGTACGGAGTGAAAACAACAGGAAGCAAGAAGCAGCTTTTGAGGAGACTTGCCACAGCAGTCAGAGAAGAGAGACTCAACACACAGCACAAGGAGCAACGGGAACACCACCAAGCTTACCACCTAGCACCACCTCAGGAACCAACGGAAGAGGAGAGAGCGTACCACAACTTGACGCACCTTCCGTACCAGCCTTGGTGTCCCCATTGCGTTGCTATGAAAGCACGAGAAGACAGCCACAAGAAAGGATTGAGCAAGCCAAGCAGCTCTACTGATTCCGCGAAGCCTGTCATCAGTTTTGACTTTTGCTATACAAGCACCACAGGAAGTGAAGAGCCACCTGCAGTGACTCTTGTCGCTGTGGACAGCTGGAGCAAGGCAGTCCTTGCAGTGCCCTGCAAGAGAAAAGGAGGTGCAGGAAGCACAACGCACCTTGCAGAAGCACTTGTGCAGTTCACCACGCAGCTCGGGTACAACACCCTTGTTCTCAAAGCAGACAACGAGATACGGAGGCAAGTGAACACTATACTTGATGAGCTCAGAGAAAGAACACAGCTGGCAATACCACATGAACACGTAGTGGTGAGTTGGGCGTTTAGACACGCCTGCTGGCTACTCAACAGGTTCGCTGTTAGCAGCTCCACAGGAAGAACGCCACAGGAAGTTATCCACGGATATCCCTACTCAGGGAAGCTGGTACCCTTCGGTACTATTGTGATGGCGAATTGAAGATCAAAAGAAAAGGCGACAGGATCTGGAACGCAGGAATAGTTTTAGGCAAGACAGATCAAGACACTTGGATCGTTGCACAGCCTGACGGCATACATATCACACGCAGCGTGAGACCACTACCAGAACAGTACGACTCCAAAAGAACAAGCAGCATAGAGGTCCATACCTGGAGCCTCAACACACCACTTCTTGGAGCAAGAGTACTTCCAGAGAAGAAGCAGAAGCAACGACCACAGCTAAGCATCCTGCCCCCTGTTGCCGAGGAAGAACGAAACCAGCTCGAGAACGATGAGGCCGCCAGCGACCCTCCGAGTTCGGAGGACAGCAGTGAGGAACAGCAAGCAGTTGAAGACAGAGAAGAACAGAGCGAAAGCAGCAGCATGAGCGTGACGAGAGATAGGAAGAGAAGAGCTGAAGTTGATGATGACACCCTCTTGGAGGAACTCCAGGCACTTGAGCCACTCACAGCCTCAGCAGAAGCACTTGCAGCACCAGCTGAACCAAGAGCAGAAGCAAGCAAGCACAGTCTTGAGCCTGAGGAACCAAGCTCACCCAGCAAGTCACGAAAGCAGGTCAACAGAGCAGAAGAAGCAGATGGTTACCTCAACATGCCTCATGATGATGAGGTTTACGAAGCAGATGATGAGTTTTTGTACGAGTCTGAAGAAGAAGAAGAAGAGGAAACAGAGAAAGAACCAACGGAAGTTTCTACCAAGGTCCCCATCGATTTCTTCGATGAGGAGAAAGGACCACCGAACGTGGACCCAGCTTTTCTTCAGAAGTTGGATGATGAAGCTACAGTTAAGGAGATCAAGAGGTTAACAAAGATGGGAGTTATTTCGTTGGTTTCTACAGACCCTCAGGAAGCAACTGAGAACGTACCTCTGGTAGACTCAGAACAAGAACTTCACAAGTGGTTGACAACGAAGTTGGTGAAAGATTGGAGGTTCAGAGAAGCCACAGGTTTTGAAGTTGAAGAAGCCACAGCAGGAACAACAAAGCCCAAGCAGACACAGAGGTGCTGGCAGAGACGTGCCAGGTTAGTAGCAAGAGAATACAAAACAGAAGGAAAAAGGGAAGATATATTTTCTCCTGCGACAAGCCCAGGAATCACCAGACTGGTGCCCATGCTGGCTCTCGCCAACAATTGGGCGATCTACAGTGTCGACATGAAAGACGCGTTTTTACAAGTCCCTCAAAGAACACCTTGTTTGTGTCGAGTACCTGAAGAAGCAGCTCACGTTGTACAAGCAATGCAGGAACAACCAGAACGCAGCCCTGGAACTTGGTGTTGGAAGCTAGGAAGAGTTTTGCCAGGTCAACGCGACGCATCCAGCCTTTGGTCCGACTTTTGTGATGGACTTTTGGTTGAAGAGAAGTTCGAGCGTTGTACAGCAGTCCCAGCACTTTACTGTCTTCTACGACAAGGAAAAGTAGTTGCCGTTTGCATTGTGCACGTAGATGACTTGCAGTTTGCAGGAAAGAAGGAAGTCATCGAACCGATCCTCAAGAACCCCAAGAAGAAAGTGAACCTACAAGTTGAAGGACCTCTTTTGAACGAGGAAGACTACGAGAAAGGATTCTCTGAAGAAGCCGTGAAGTTTCTCAAAAGGAAGTACACGTACGAGCATCACGAACTACGAGTACATAGCGATAGCAAGTACGTGAAGAAACTCGTGGAGATCCTCAAGCTGGAGAAGAAGAAGGCCAAGAACTCGCCTTGTACACCGCCTAGTCAAGAACCTGACGTATCCCAAGAATTGGACGAGGAACGCTCGAGAACGTACAGAAGTTGTGTTGGCATTTTGCTGTACGTGGCGCACGACCGTCCGGACATTCAGTTCGCAGTACGTAGCCTAAGTACTGCCATGACGAAGCCAACGGAATGCAAAAGGAAAGAACTGGAGCACTTGGCGCTCTACCTCAAAGGAACGTCAGACTACGCCGTTACGTACCACAGGAACAACAACCCAGGAACGTCAGCTTTACGTCATCACGCCGAAGAACCACAAGAACCACAAGGACCTCAAGAACAACCACGTGAACGTTTGCTCGAAGTTTTTAGCGACTCCGACTGGGCCGGAGACAAGCAGACCAGGAAGTCAGTCAGTTGCGCCATGTTCTACCTGGATGGTGCATATTTCTACAGCTATAGCAGGACACAGAAGTCAATAGCATTGTCTTCAGCAGAAGCAGAGTACATGGCACTCACAGGAGCAGCAAGCGAAGGAATAGGCCTACACGCAGCAGTTCGTTTTCTCACAGGAGAACGAGTACTACTCAAAGCATACACAGACAGTTCCGCATGCCGCGGAATTACAAACCGCCAAGGAACAGGAAGAGTCAAGCGCTTGCAGATTCGTTTACTTTGGCTACAAGCAGCAATACGCGAAGGCAAGCTTACAGTACACGCAGTTGGTACAAAAGAAAACACAGCAGACCTAGGAACAAAGCCTCTTAGCACAAAGCGAGTGAAGTTTCTCCTGAACATGATCGGCATGTGCAACAGCGAAGGAAGAGTTGGAGAGCAAGAGCGAGAAGAAGAAGAAAAAGCACAAGTTGTAAGAAGACTCGAGAAGATCATGAAGAACAAGAGCAGCATGTTGTTTGCGCTTTCAAGTTTGTTTGCGCAGACTGAGGCAGCTTACGTACCGTTCGCCGCAGCTCAAGAAGTAGCAAGCTCACAAGAAGTCCCAAGAAGCTCTGGAAGCATGTCGCTTCTGGAAGTCCTGGTGACGATCGCCATGGTGTGCATGGCGGCATGGTTTGTCGTCAACGAGATGAAAAAGCCGCAGAAGCACAAGAAGACGAAGAAAGAAGAGAAGAGCAGCAGTGGAGAAGAAAGCGAAGAAAGCAGCAGTAGCTCAGGAGCCAGAAGAAGAGCGGAAGCAGCAGAGAAGAGAAGGAGAAAGAAAGAGAAAGAAGAAGCCCTTGCCGCTCAGGTGAACTACGACGGCGACTCCTTCGACGAGGCAAAGAAAGAAGTGAAAGAGAGAGCAGAGAAGTTGGAGAAGGAAAAGGAGGAGTTTGAAGAGGAGAAGAAAAAGTTTGAGGAGGAAAAGAAAGCAGCCACAGAAGAGAAGACAGAGTTTGAGGACACGGTGAAAAGGTTTTTGGCAAAGCAGAAGCAGGTGACGGAAAAGGAAGACAAAGTCACAGAGAGAGAAGAGAAGGTAGAGAAAGACCTCGAGACCCTCCAGGAGCAAGCGAAGACCCTAAGCGAGAAAGAGACAGCCCTTGAAGAAGCCGAGGAGAAGGTCAAAGGAAGAGAAGCAGAAGTGGCAAGAAAGAAGAAAGAGGTAGAGAAGAAAGAGAGAAAAGCTCAGGAAAGAACCACCGGCTACGACGAGGAGAGAGAAGAGTACGCCAAGAAGTACGTGGACGACGCAAAGAAGGACTTGGAGAGAGAGCTTAAGGTACTAAAGCAAGAAGAGAAAGTAAGGAACCAGAAGCTCGACGACCTCCAGTACGACTACAAAAGCCTCAAGGACGACTACCAGTACTTCAAGACTTACTCGCAGGAAGTGGACGCCCTTCTACTTGCAGCTAAGGACAAGATCGTGAAGTACAAGAAGAAGGTCAAGAGCCTCAAGGAAACCATAGGTGCAGTCTTGTCTGGAAGCGAAGGTGAAGAAGAGACAGAAGAAGCCTACAATACCAAAGCAGAGGAAGAGAGAGAGAAGACAGAAGAGGAGCCAAAAGAAGAGGAGGACAAGCCCAAAGAGAAAAGGCCAAAGCAGGTAGAGACAGAAGACCAAGAAGAGAAACCGCCAAGCAACCAAGGAGACGACACCGTCACGGACCCGAACGTAACAGAGTTCACGCAGCTTGGGTACGTGTGGGAGTTCAACAAGAAGACGCAAGAGTACCGCGCGAAGTGTGAGGACAAGAAAGGCGCAGCAAGGATCAAGAATGCGCCCGTCAAGGGACGCATGCTCTGGAACAAGGTGACAGAGTGTTTCAGGAAACACAACGTTTGGTTTTGCGACGGCCGAGAACTTGACCGATTCCTCGAGAGCAAGGAGAACGAGAAGATCGAGGAGGAAGTGCAGCGACGCCTTGGAAACAAAGGCAGACAGGACAACACAGGAACCAAGGGAAAAGGTCCCTCCTGGGACGACGGCCAGAACGACGGCTGGTGGTACAACGACCAGTGGAACAACGAGAACTGGAACACCGACGACGGCAGTGGTTGGTACGACAACGCGAACCCACAGAACAAAGGCTACTGGCAGACGCCAGAAGAGTGGGCGCAGCAGAACCAGTGGGAGCAGTGGACACCCAAAGGAAAGAGCAAAGGCAAGAAGTCCAAGAACTGGATGAAGACACAGTGAGGAAGATCCCGAGAAGGGATGATCGAGCAGGTCAAGCAGTGAGCGCTTGTACATATGTACATAGCTAAGCAACGTAAGACTTGATGTATACTAGCAAAGGAATTCATGTACAAAGTGAGCAAATGTACAGACGTAGCAAACCGGGGCAGTAAGCCTAAGTGAGCTACAACTTTCCAAAGTCTCACAAGAAGTTTCACAGAAGGCAGGTTAGGAAGGTACAAGGGCCAGAAGAGGCAAAAAGCCGGAGAAGCCAAGAACAAGAAAAAGAAGCCCGCAAGAAGAAAAGCCCGTAGGCTACGTAAGGGCAGAAGGAAACCGGGGTACGGGCCTCCCCGCAAAGAGTCCATAGGCTGGACCTAACTAGAATGTAGTTGTACATACAGAATAGGTTTTTCAGGAAGGCCAATGTACAGACAAAGAAGGCCTAAGTAGCAACAGGGCAGGAGTGCAGCTAGGTAAAAGACCAAGAACAACGGAGACGAAAGTCCCTAGCAAAAGCACTGTACAGAAAGCCCTAGCAGTTTCCGAGAACACCCTAGGAACCCGCAAGAACTTTCTGAGGCGGGGTGTTCGTTTGTAACCTAGTGCACGTAGTCCCAAGTAGAGTGTGTGAAGTGATCGCAAGAACACATGAAACATGTGTGCGAACCGTGACACGGAGGCTTAAGCAAGTCAGCCCGCGAAGTGAGAAAAGTGTGTTTGTGAGTAGAGTGGGAAGAAAGGCTTTAGAAGCCTTTAGTTTCAACACGTAGCAATGCAGGTAACTTGCACCAATGCTGCCAAAAGCTCAGGAAAGAAATGCTGTTCTTGGACAACTTGCGCTTCACCTGAGACGGGTCAGCAACTCGAAGCCACGCACGTTTAGAAGAAAGCACAATCTTCGCAAGATCAGAGCGACGTCGGATTGGCATGTGGCGCACATCGATCAACTTAGCTCCAATGGGAATGGCCGTGCCTGCCGGGACCCGGACAAAAAGCAAGTTGTCATCAACACAATCATGTATCTCCGCGAAGTAATGCGGGTCAATGCTGTGAAGTGTCGCAGGTGGACAGTGAAGATCCTTGTAAAGCACACCAACCCAAGGTCGCAAGTGAGGAAATGCAGGAAGAAACCACTGTATCATGCCCGTCACCTTGTGAAGGTCGCGCTTGTGCACATTACTAGAGCTCTGCAACAGTGCTGTCACATCTGCAAACAAGCGATCACGCTTGCTTTGTGGAATAGAAAAGCAACCGGCTCGAACATTAATGCGCCATCCTATCCAAACCACCTCTGGTCCAACATCCAATTTGCGCCAGCTCAAAGGAATATTAAAGCATACACAGAACGCCAGAATGAGAACTGTGGTTGCAAAGATGGTGGATTCCCCTTGTGTCAGAAAGAAGTCATCTACATACAACATGAGCGAGTGGCGGATGTAGATGAGTATGTGCAAAGCACGTACGAAAAAGGAGCCTAATCTGGCCCACCACAAAGCACTGAAACATGCTCCGAAGGGGCATACGCTATAAAAGTAATGCCGGCCGTCGCATTGCACTCCAAGCAATCCACGGTCACTTTCTTTGACCTTCATGGTTTTATGCGCGGATTCAACGTCTATTGTGGCTGCTGAAAGGTTACAAGCAGGACCACGTAATGGGAACGAAGCACGAGCAGATCCCAAAAGCGGCAGAGTATAAGCTTCGTCAATCTGGCATAAAGCATTGGTGTTGCAGATTGAATTGCCCACCACAAGGCGGTCAGGGCGACCTTCGCTTGAAACAATACTCATCTTGCCCACAGCACAACGATCAGGCCACCTCTTCAAAGCATCATCAAGCGGCACAAGAAAGCCAAGCTCAACCTCTTTGGCAACCATCTCTTTGAGCAGCACAGGATTCGCTTCTGCAGAAGACCAGTTGCCTTCGCAAAGCAGAAGATCAACGTCCGCAGGATCGCCCACTGGGCGCTTGGCGAAAACGTTACTTGCTGGGATGTTCTTGTCAAAGCCAGTAGGAACCCCTTCAATCAAAGCAGGAAAGAGTGCTCCATCAGGATCCGAAAGCATTGTGCTAAGCACTGACAACGCCCTAAGGCAATACGGTTGCTCTGGGTCAACTGTCCAATCCACCGAAGGTGGCCCACCTTGGGAAATAACCCATTGTCCGAAAAGTGCACGAAGCTGTGCCACCTCATCTGGTAAAAAGAAACTACCCTCGCCTTGATTCGCAATGTGCTCTTGTAACCGGCTAGGCAAGCGTTTGGCGAAAAGGAATGAAAGCCATGACTGCCGAAGCGCCGCCAGCCTATTTGGAATGCCCGGCGGTGGGCAACTCCAATCAGGACATGAACCCATGCCGCCAGCATCCTGAAAAGCAAACGGTGGAACACCAAAGTCCTTAATCGGGACTTTGCACATTGCAGAGTGCAAGGAAAGATCCAATCCATCAGCTGCAAGCTGTAACGGCGAGAGAATCATCAAAAGCTGTGAAATCAGTGCTCCAGGAAACCGACAGAAATCTTCATGTGAAAAAGAAGAAACGCCGGTCTCAGCAGGATTCGACGAAGTAGCAGAAAGTGCCCGTATGCCATGGAATGATGAAGCAAAAACCCATTGCAAGTGGCTCGCAGCGTCCCAGTCCGAGGAGTCCACCAAAATTCCAAAATGCATCCTGCAGAAATTTCCAAGAGCAAGTGCTGTACCAAGGAGTGCCGGCAAGAGTCTGAATTGGCCGGCTGAATCAAGCAAACATGACCTCCTGCTTGAAAAGTGGCCAGTAACAACGTGGCACAGCGCTCCAACAGGATTGAAGCAGCAGAACTGACTGATCCACTAGCAGTCGGTCCCTGCCCATCAAGTGGGGGGTTCGCCACTGCGAACCAAATCATGCCTGAAAAGCATAGCCGCAGTAAAAGCTCGAACTGTGTGTCAAAAGAAATGTCGATGGGCTCCTGAAGCGACGAGTCCACCGACAATACTGCAAAACCGAAGCCAAGGGCTGCCACAGAAATTGGCCGCATGCTTCCACAACATACGTCCAAAAATATCTTGCCCTTGCTAGAAAGTACTGACTCTGAAAGAAAAGAAGGGCCCGCAGCCGGAGCCGGAGCTGGAGTCGGAGAAATGACTGAGGAAATAAGCCTGCTGGTCGCGGCTGTACCAGGCGCTTTCTATCGGTCTGCTATTGCCACGGACACCATCAGCAAGACGCTAATGGCGCGGCTTCAGCACTTTTTCTCCACACTGCTGTGCGAGACGCGCCATCCTGATGCCCTTCTCCCGCCGGTGGCCTCTACTGGCCTACCGCGTGCCCTCTACGATACCGCAGGCTTTGCTAAGCCCGACCCGGAGGATGGCGTCCCGGCTAAAGAGGACCCAGACCTGATTGCTGAGCTTCGGAGCCAAAGCTGTGCTGCTTCTACCCCAAGGCCCCTAATACCTCGTGGGAGGCCAGGGTGGATGCGCTGCTGAATGCCGTGGAGGTTCCGCGTAGTCGGTTGTTGCCCGGTGTCCGTGCTATTTCCAGCAACTGCGTCCCGCCTGAAGATGAGGATGATTTTCAGGAGCAGCACGACGTCCTCCGTCGCTACCAGGCCAAGGGGAGGCAGCATGCGGACGTCGAAGGCCCAGCGAGCGCGGCTGCGCTGTCCCAGCTACTCCCCGACCGACTGGACTGCCTTTCCCTCCTTTCGCTGCCCCTCTCTTTGCCGGCTTGCGAAGTTAGGCTCAGCCCTCAGAATTTCTTTCGGAGTCCGTGTGGTTGATTTTGCGGACCGCGCGCTGATGCTTCGTCATTGTTCGGAAAGCGAAGCTTTCCGCGTGTGCCTCACTCCCCTGCTTGCAGTCTCCATCGCACTAGCGCAGTTCTGCGACCCTGTATTGCGGTTGCCCGAAGGCCGCGTTTTCGACCTTTCGTGGTATGAGTTGGCGCGCCCGGACATCTGGTGGTGGTTCCTTTGGGATGAGCTTGCGGGCCTGAAGTTCTCGCTGCCCAGTGCCAAGGCAGGCCACAAGTCGCCCGTTCGCGATGGCAGCTTAATCCAGATGTCTCTGGCCCTCAAGCGACCTCCCCAGCCCGCGGTTCGGCGCCGTGGCCCTTGGCGCCCGGAGCACGACGGGGGGGGGGAAGGACGGGAAGGAGGCTCGTGGGTAGATCCGAACCAGGGCACACCACTGCTTCATTGTGGTGTGCTGCTACCGGTGCAGCTGGTGTTCTTCTACCTTGCACGGGCCTTTGTGGATGAGCTTGCAGCTGCTCCTTTGCTGCAACTCGTGCGCATCTCCCCAGTCTGTCAGAATGACCAGAGCTTCCTGGAGGTACGGGTTCGGGTGGAGGTACCTGCCTCCCTGGTTGGGCGGCCCCAAATCGCTATTGCCGCACGGCTGATGGATGGCTTTCACCGCGGGCTTCTCCCAGACAGGCGGGGCGACTTCGACCCCCGGTATGTGTGCTTGCTCACGAGTGTTTGGTAATGTTTTGCATGCTTGCTGCACTTCATGACATTCCATGTACATTGCAGCAAGCAGGCTCGCAGCTGCCAGCTCGCCTGCATCGCAGGCTAAAAATTTGTCCCACCCACCTCTTCCCTTGTTTTGTTGGGGAGTACATTGCGGGCATCTGCATCTGGGTGCTTCTACCGTGTTTACGTTTCTACCTGCGGATGTTTGCATCAACATCGGGCGACTCTTTGTTGGCTATCTTCTAAGAAGATTGTCCATTCTGCATTCCTTCATCGGTGACGGGTCGGTGCCTTTTGATGCACCTAGATCTCACCGGATGGGGGGAAAACATGCAGATCAGTTTCACTGCAAGGTCCATTCCTTGCTCGGACAGAACGATCTGCATTCCCGCCAGAGAACAAAGGAGCGAGTGTTTGCGAGTGACTGCATCAATTCCATTTGAATATTCCATTTGAATATTTCCTTTGCTTTATATGTATTTCCATTACATATAAAGCTGCACATAGGAAGCAGCTGCGAATACATTAACCGAACAAATGTTCTCTTATCCGGGCGTGT